GCTATTGTTAGACTTCTTAATTTTGCCACTCTGAAGGGCAAATGGCACAGCTCTGAGACAGCAGTCACCTTGGACTGAGCCGTTGGGAGCAGTCCTGAAAAATATCTTTGGACAGAAAGGCAGAGATGGAGCAGTGGCCACCCGCTGTGTATCGAATACTAGAATGGAGAGACCTGCTCCGGAGCCCTGGAGATGGTGGAGAGCTGCAACTGAAGATGACTGTAGTTATGATGCTTGTGCTATGTACTCTGCTTACCCTTGTCCCCCACAATTACTGCTGAATCAGGAATGCTGTATGCACCCCTGTGCTATGCTAGAAGGGGAAGAAGAAGAAAACTACAAAAGATCAGAGAAGCTCTGGATTCCAGAGCTGACCTCATTGTTTCTCTATCCATGTTTGGGTGCACTGAGTTGGAATTGCCACTGAAAGTGGCATCCAGGGAGAATGATTCCTTCGACTTTTCTTATCTGGTCAGGCTTCATAGATATCACTGAACCTTTGCATGAATCTTTATAAAGTTGAATCTTGAACAACACAGGTTTGGACTGCGTGGATTCACTTACACGCAGATGATAATATATTCAGCCCTCCATATCCCTGGGTTTCCCATCCACGGTTTCAACCAACCATGCATCGAAAACAGTATTTTCGATGCATGGTTGGGAATCCTTGGATGCAAGGAGCCAACTGTATGTACTGCTCTACACCATTTTATGTAAGGGTCTTGAGCATCCACACATTTTGGTATCTGCGGAGATTCTGGAACCAGTCCCCTGTGGATACCAAGGAATGACTGAGCTTTTGGGGAATCAAATGTTACACACACATTTTTGACTGGGTGAGGGTCAGCACCCCAAAGCCCCATGTTGTTTAAGGGTCAGCTGTATAGGACCTTTGTATAAACCCATTGCAGTACAGGCAGCCAGTTCTGATTGGAGGTTTCTGGATCATCCCTGACATTCTGGAGCCGACAGTGATCTCATCACAAGTACCCAGAATGCGTCATAAGGCCTTTATTAAGCACAGTCCATCCAGCACCTCTGCCTTGTAGCTGAGAAGATGCCAAGGTGGCAGAAACTCCTGTATTCTGGCTGAAACCCTGCATTTATTCAAGAAGCACGTTATGAGCATTTTGCAATCTGTTGTTGCCAATGCAGCATTTCAAAACCATCTGAAAAGGCCGTGGCTCCCTGCTCCCAAAGAATGTCTTTTATTCACCATCAAGGCCATAGAGGTGTTCAGGGAACAGCACATTCTTACCTATGTAACAGAGGAGGAGATCTAGTAGAGGTCAGATGATTGTAACCAAAAAAGAAACAACTTAAACATCTCAGTGACTGTTGAGAGCAAAGGAAAAGTCGACAGGAAATGGCTGAGCACGTAGCTGACAGATTTGACTAAGGAAAAACAAGACGATGCCATGGCTAGGAAGAAAAGGGGCTTCCACAGCCTTCACCCTCTAATCCCTGTTTTCGATGAGTGACAGAGACATGAAGGCAGAATTATGGGGGCTGCCTGATCAACGTTAACATTTGGGCAATGCCATCAAACAGGTTACTATTGAAAAAGAACTGTAGAAGATGACAAAGGGGCTGAGACCACAAAACCCCACCTTTGCTGTCTGGTCCTCACGGGGAAAGTACTCATCCAGGAGGAATATAAATACATGCGGGGAATGGCAAATCAGTGACACCTGGAATCACAGAACAGACTCACGCTGCAGTTCAACACAGCCGAAGGCTTAAAACCCACATTGTAGAACAGATAAGAGGCAGCGTTATCTAATTTCTAAAGCAGCATTTGGAATCAAAAACTAATAGCTTCATGATTTGAGGTTGGAGAAGAATTTCTTGAACCAGGCACAAAGAACAGTAACTATAAAAGAAAAAAAAACTGTTAAATTCAACTGCATTCAACTTAAGACCTTATCCCCATTATGAAAAAAAAAAAGAAGAAGAGTTGAACAGGCAAACCAAGGGGCACCACAAGATAAAGGACTGGTATCTAGAATAAAAAACAACTCTTGTAAATCAATAAGGAAAAAAGACAGGTTGCCTATAGAAAAATGTGCAAAAGACTTCAATAAATACTTCAGACGATATAGAAAATATCCAATAAACATATAAAAGCTATTCGACCTCATTGTCACCAGAGAAACACAAATTAAAGCCACAAGGAAACACCGCTATACCCCAGGTTAGTCAAAATGAATTTGCCAGTGCCAAATGGCATGAGAGTATGTAACAATGTGCACTCTCACGTCTGTTGGCAGGGGGGTAAATTGGTACAAGTACTTTGGGAAACTATTTGGAGTTATCTACTAAAGCTGAACATATGGATACCATATGACTTAGTAGTTCTTCGAGGTGATATAGTCAACAGAAATACATGCATACATACACCAAGAGACATGTAAAAAATGTTCATAGCAGCATATTTTTCGCTTCTCTGCATTAAAAAGAACCCATATATCTATCAGTCAAATAAATAAGTTGGAGTATGTTCATACAATAGAAAACTGTATAGCAAAGATAATAAGCTATTGCTACATATATCAACATGGATGAATCGTATAAACAATGTTGAGTGAAGAAAATAAAACAAAACCATACTGCATGCTTACATTTATATAAAGCTCATTAACAGCCAGAAATTAACTACAGTATTAAGGGATATGTATTAGTCCGCTTGAACTGCCGTAAAATACCATAGACTGGATGACTTAAACAACTAGCGTTTATCTTCTCACTGTCTGGAGGCTGGAAGTCCAAGGTCCACATGCCTGCATGGTCAGTTTCTGGTGAGGCTTCTTTCTGTCTTTTAGATGGCCACCTTCCCCCTGTGCATTCACCAGACTGCCGGACCTTTCTGTGTGTGCTTGGAAAGAGGGAGCAGGCTCTCTGGGGTCTCTCCTTACAAGGACACTAATCAATATGTGGGCCCCGCCCTTATGACCTCATTTAACCCTAATTACTGTCTCTAGATAATGGTCATGCTGGGTGTTAGGGCTTCAGAATATGAATTTGACAGAGACACAACTCAGTCTATAGCAGGATGAAAAGTATTAATGTAAACTAAAACAAGGAAATGGTTTATAATATTAAGGGGTGATAAGTATGATATAAAGCAAAGTAAGGAAATCAGGATAGAGGTTACCTAAGATGTGAGCAAAGGAAGGAGTTGTGATTGGAAGGTGCCATGCTGGCAATGTTTTATTTCTTGACCCACATAGCTACTCATTTTATAAATTATTTGTTAAATATCACATTTGTATTTTGTAAACTTTTCTGTATGTGTGTTATACTTAATTTAAAAGATTTTAAAATACAGTAAGATGGTGCTGGACTTGATGGGGGATCACTTTATAAGTCGTATGGATGCCTGGCCATTACACCTGTAACCAATATACAATAGTATTGAATGACAACTATAATTAAATATATATGTGTGTGTGTGTGTGTGTGTGTGTGTGTGTATAAAATAAAGAAGAAAAGAAACATTGTGTTCACTCTGATTTCCTGTTTTCTACAGTCTGTTAATATTGATGATCTGTTCCATTTTTGTTACCCTATTGAAAGGGATTGTGCTTAACTATTTAGACTTTTGTTCCCCCATAGAAATTTTTGTATATTATTTTTTCAAATATTAATATGATAAATAATGGTAAATTTAAAATATTCTTTCTTCTTCTGGAGTATTATTAAAATACATTTCCTGATATTCTGATGAATTGAGTTGAACTGATGTTTTTGCCCTTAAACACTTTCCCATGTAGGCAGAGATTTTCACCTTCACTTGGCCCAGGCCTGCATTTTATTAAGGTTGATTCGGCTGTTAGCAATATATTTGGCTCTGTGAAAGATTATCTTGAGCTGGTAAGATTAAGGAATAGAGGAGCTTTTCAAAAGTGAACTATCTCCGGCTGAGTGGCACATTGGTTAACAGTTGGCTTGGGACGCCAGCTCTGAGCAGCAGGGCCCCGGTTCAGATCCCACATGAGAGCCAGTGATGCTGCGCCCTCTACAGCTAAGATGGTGAACAACAGCTCAACCTGGAGCTGGGCTGCCGTGAGTCGCCAGTGATGGTGTAGGCTGCAGTGGACTGCCGTGAGCTACCGTGAGTGGGCTGGCAGCTGGTGTGAACTTCCGTAAGCCACCGTGAGCAGCTGTCCATTGGCTAGCAAGCGACTGCCTCAGCCGGGAAGAGCACAATGATAATACCAACATGGCCCAGTGAAGCGACGTCCTCCACAACTAGACTGAAGAACAAAAGGACAGCAACTTGTCTGTTCCCCTTCCCCGATTTCCCAACGCTGTTCCCTTCCCCCAGTTCTCCAATAAAATCTTTTTAAGAAAAAGTGAACTGTCTCTGATTATAATCAATAAAAGAAATGCTGACTAGAAATAGAGTTTTTATGTAGCTCTACTTTATTCTGCTATCGTTAGTTAATCAAGTTGTTATAACTACTAAACTGGTATATTCATTTCTAGTTTCATCAATCCTTCAAAGGGATTATGAATTGCTGTCACAATCAAGAAGTTATCTAGGGGGGCCGGCCGAGTGGCTCAGTTGGTTAAGAGCTCGCTCAAGAGTTTGAGCTCTGAGCAACAGCGGTTCGAGGCCAGCCCGAGCTGAGCAGCCGCTAAGCTGCCAATAGNCAACAGCGGTTCGAGGCCAGCCCGAGCTGAGCAGCCGCTAAGCTGCCAATAGACAGCAGGATGGCTCAGCTAAAAAAAAAAAAAAAAAAAAAAAAGAAGTTATCTAGGGATCTGATTCCTCCTCACCTTGAAAATTAACCCCAACAATTCAAGAAACATCCTTATATCCTACCCAGATTGGTTGTGGGATGAGGAGGTAGTGGATGATGGCTCCCAGTCTGAACAGATCTTTAGTCATATTCTAAAGCCCAGTCATTTGTCGAAACTATATAGAAGAAATAGTGAAGCCACATGTTATCCCTTAAGAAAACTTCTCCTCACAGTGTGCTTTTTTCTTGTAGATAATTCGCTCCTTTATGCTCTTTCCAACAATTGAACGAATGGCCGAGTCACCCAATGGCAGGATCGCCACTCCATTATTGTGCTGGCTTCGATATGTTTTCTATGTTCCCGGCTACTTATTGCTGAAACCATGTCCGGCGAGAATCAAGTCCTGGTTGATCAGACTGGCCCTTCAAGTGATGAATGTGCAGAGTGAAATTTCACTCCTGAATGTGTTGGAACCATTCTGCCTTGGTAAGCACATTAAAAACTATATGGGTTTATTCTTGTATCAGAAAGTGTTAAGAGAATAATCTCAGACAGAGGATAAATATCAAGCAAGGAATTATTTGTTGGGGGTTTTTCTTCCAAAAGTTTAAAACTAGAAATAAAATGAGAACAGAGTGAGGGGAGTTCTGTATGACAGATAGAAAGGCTTTTCAAGCTTTAATTTTAAAATTATCCTGCTGATTCTCCACCCCAGCTGCAGAACAGGGAGAAAGACTTTTTCTATATATAGTATATATGGAGTCCTTACAGGAACCCAGGGTGGGTCTTGTTAGTCCAGTGTGAAACTTTGCAAAAACCAGCCCAAGGAAAACAGGCCCCATATTCCTGTAGAGTGAACAGGCTGTGCTTTTATTTTCCTCCTTAAATGTTTTTGGAGGGGGTTAAATTATAAAAGTAATAATAGTCATGGTGATCTAACACTGGTCCCTCTGCTGGTTCTGTTTTCTGAATGTGCCAGGGAATGTTTTCGTTATTTCACTTTTAGCTTCAAATATTGTTTTTAAATGTAGTCCATCTTTTTAGTTAACTCTAACTTATACTGTATTTATAAATGATTTACATTGTAAAATCCTACTTTCTTAATCTATAAGATGGGGATAATAATATCCCACGCTTCAAAACATTACTGTAGGATTAAGTATGATAATATATGCAAATTGCCTATCTAGTATTTTATGTATAATTTGTCTGCAATGAATGATATAACAACAGTTGCAGCAGCAGCAGCTGATGACACCATTTTAAGATCTCACCTGTATTTCTCAGCACGAATGAGATTTAGTTATCATTACTGTCCCCACTTTACAGGTGAAGATACTGAAGTACAGAAATTTATGTCTCTGTACATAGACGTACAATGAAGATTTGCCCAGAGACACACAACTAGTGGGTAGTGTTCAAACGCAGGCATCTGCTGCAATGCTAAGCTCCCGTTACCACAGCTGCTGCCGTTGTCTTTTCGCCCCAGTTAATCATAAAGGCAGGACTCCCGAGTAAAGTATACCTTGCTCACCTGCATCAAGAGTACCACAAGGTCGGGCCAACCAGGTGGCGCGTTGGTTGGGAGCTGGCCTGGAACACCAGAGGGCCCCGGTTCGGATCCCACATATGAGGGCCGGCGACGCTGCCCTCTGCAGCTAGGATGCTGGGCGGCGGCTCGACCTGGAGCTGGGCTGCTGAGAGTCGGGCTGCAGCCCCTGCTGCAGTGGGTTGCCATGGGCTGCTGTGTGTGGCCAGCAGCCAGCGTGAGCGGCCGTCCAGAGGCCGAGGGCTGATCTGCCTCGCCCGGGAGGAGCGCAATGATGGTGCCAACTTGGGCCAGTGGGGCAACGTCCTCCACGGCTAGACTGGAGAACACAACGACAGCAACTTGTCTGTTCCCATTCCCCCAATTCCCCAGCGCTGTTCCAATTCCCCAATAAAAATCTTTAAAAAGGGGGAAAAAAAAAAAAAAAGAGTACCACAAGGTCATGTGCACAGTGAATCAACAAGTCACAGCCCTGCCTCTACAATTGTACAGCTACATATTGTATGGGAGGTGTTGTCCAAATATGTAGCAAGAAGCAGTCATTAGAAATGCAAATTCAGTGCATTTTCTGTATTTGTGGGGTTTTTTCCCTCCAGGTTCTCCCAAACCCCCATTATTTTTTTTATGTTAAAGTTTATTGGGGTGACAATTGTTAGTAAAGTTACATAGGTTCCAGGTGTACAATTCTGTAATACATCATCTATACATCATATTGTGTGCTCACCACCAGGGTCAGTTCTCCTTCCATGACCATATATTTGATCTTTTTTACCCTCATCTACCCCATTCTTTATTCTAGCCTTAGCATAGCAGTGGAAGAAGATGAAATAAGGAAAAGGAAAGCAAGGTTCAGGACTGTCATAAAAATCACCAAAGATTGAAGTTGGAGATGTCCCTGAAAAACTTTCTGGTCCAGCCCATCATCCTTACCTCATATTATAGAAAAGAAAGAGATGGCCTAGTAAGTGAAAGTGGCATTGACTGCCTGTCAGAAACCCTCAACTCTCATTTTGGTTTTGCCCCAGACTCACTCTGTGGCCTCAATGTGGTCTTTTCCCCTCCCTGGTTCGTGGTCATTGATCAGATCAAGAGTAGACTAGATGATCTCAAGTACCAATCCACCTTTGGAAATTATTTGAGACCAAACGGAAATTGCGTGAAATTCTGGCAAACATATAAAATTACTCCACTTATACCTCAATAAATCATGTTATTTCCCTTTACATTTTTTCTTCTTTGATATTTTTCTTTTTACCCTATAGAAATGATTTTTAAAAGCATTTACCAGTTAGGGACTCCATTTTTCTCCAAGTTCTTCTGCTTCTAGGAAGATGGAATAGATGTACTTTTCCCTGTTTCTCCTACTAAGTACTAAAAACTCTGAATATTATATATAAAACAAACATAAGAAGACTGAATGGTAGACAAGAAAACAGACTATGTAGGGACCTTGGAACCAAAGAACAACACAGTGGAGAATTCTCTGGGTTTTCTTTTTAGCACATATTATCTAGATTTGGAGCCAGAACCCAGAAACACCAGTGGGTACAGACCCATAAAAAGCCCCGACAACAGCCAAAGGACCAGGAAAATAGCAACCTTTCTAAAAGAAACTTCTAGATCACTGCTCTAATCTGGCCAAGCACCACAGTAAAAACTGTGGCCTTATCCCCACTTACGGCAGCAAAGGCCAAGTGGGAAGCCTGGACTTCATCCCCCACCCAACAGTAATGAGGCACCAGTGCCTTTCCCCACAAGGGTGGTGTCTGGAAGAGGCTGAATAGAGAGTCAGGACTTTCACCACTGCCTAGCAGTAATCAGGCCACCACCACCAATACCCTTAATATCCATGGGTGTCATGTGAGACATAGCAAGGCACTCCTACCCCTCCCAGCCTGAATGTAGCAGTGGGAACCTAATGGGGAGTCAGAATTCCTGCCCCTGCCCAGCAGTAATAAAGAGCCCCACCATCGCTTGGGTGTCCACAGACCAATGGAAAACTAGATTCCTACCCCACCTGGCTGTATGAGGTAGCCCTCTCCCCTTCCCACTTTCCCTTCCGGAGAAGTGTCAGAAAAAAAGACAAAGAAAAAGCAAGACAGCTAAAACAGAAAGTTTAAATAAGATCTGGAGGATCATAGCATAATACCCCAAATGTCCGTGTTTTAGCTAAAAATTACTCATCATACCAAGAACCCAGAAAATCTCATCTTGATTTGAAAAAGACAGTAGATGCCAACACCAAAGTGACAGAGATGTTAGAATCATCTGGCAAAGATTTTAAAGTAGCCATTATAAAAATGCTTCAGTGAGCAATTAGTAAACATGTTTGAAACCAATGAAAAAATAGAAAGTCTCAGAAAAGAGATTTAGAGAAAAAAACTGGTAAGGAAATTTTAGAAGTGAAAAATATAATAACTGAAATAAAAAATAAATAATTTTTAAAATTAAGACTGGATAGGCTCAACAGTAAAGTGGAGGGGTCAGAGGAAAGAATCAGTAAACATGAAAATAGAACAATAGAAATAGAAACGTCCCAAATTTGGCAAAATTCATAAACTTACAGATTCAGGAAGCTGGGTGGACTCCAAACAGGGAAAATCTCAAAGAAAACCACACCAAGACACATCATAATGAAACCTTTGAAAACTAAAACAAAGCAAATGTCTTCAAAGCAGCCAGGGAGAAATGATACATTATTTATAGAGGAAAACCTGTTTGACTGACAGCTGATTTCTCATCAGAAGCTATAGAGGCCAAAAGAAATGACACATATATTGCAAGTGCAAAAGTGTAAAAAAGAAAAGAACTGTCAACACAGAATTTTATATTCAGTGAAAATATCCTTTAGGAAAAAATAGGAAATTAAGACATTCTCCAATGAAGAAAAACTAAAGGAATCAGTAACCATCAGACCTATCATAAAAGAATAGCTATAGAAAGTTCTCTAAACATAAAGGAAATTACAAAAGAAGCAATCTTGAAACATTAAGAAAGGAAAAAAACAGAAAGAAAAAATGTGGGGAATTACAGTTTTTCTTCTCTTGAGATTTCTAAATTATGTTTAGCAGTTGAAGCAAAAATTGTAACACTGATATGGTGCTAAACATATACAGAAGAAGTATATAAACAATTATTTATTAAATGAGGGAGAGTAAAGGAATATAAAGGGAAGTAAGGTTTCTTTTTTTTTTTAAGATTTTTATTGGGGAATTGGGGGGGATGGGAACAGTGCTGGGGAATTAGGGGAAGGGGAACAGACAAGTTGCTGTCGTTTTTGTTCTTCAGTCTAGTTGTGGAGGACGTTGCTTCACTGGCCCAAGTTGGCACCATCATTGCGCTGTTCCCGGGCGAGGCAGATCAGTCACCGGCTTCTGGACGCCGCTCACTGCGGCTGCTGGCTACACACGGCAGCCCATGGCAACCCACTGCCACAGGGGCTGCAGCCTCTGCCGTCGCCGGCGACTCACGGCTGCCCAGCTCCAGGTTGAGCTGTTGTTCAGCATCTTAGCTGTAGAGGGCAGTGTCACTGGCCCTCATATGTGGGATCCGAACCGGGGCCCTCTGGCATCCCAAGCCAGTTCTTAACCATCGCGCCACTCGGCCGGCCCGGGAAGTAAGGTTTCTACATTTTACTTGAACTGTTATGATGTCAACGACAATGGACTGTATTAAGTTGCATACAAATAATGTAATACCTAGAATAACTGCTTTACAATCTATACAGAGACATACTCAAAAACACTATAAGTGAATAAAAGTGAAATTCTAAAACATAGTAACATATAGGAAGGCAAGAGAAAGAACACAGAAGCAAAAACAGAAATCATAATAAAATACCATACAAGCTCTAACATACCAATAATTAAATGTAAATGGCCTAAATACACCAATTAAATGACAAAGATTGGCAGAATGGATTGAAAAACAACCCAAC